TAGCAAAGAGCGCAGGCACCCGCGCTAGCCTGCGAAGACCATAGAGACAGCACGAGAGGCGGGATGGCGTACATTCAAACCCGAGACAGAAGAACAGATTTCAAAAACATGAGACCCTCCACCAGCCAACACACACACACGCGCACACTGAACATCCAAGGATATCACACGATCATCCACAGAACACGAATAACATTAGGGTACCCTCCCCGAACCGACCTTGATCGTATACCTAGGTCCGACTGTATCAAAGGGGCCCAGAGACACACGAATAAATACACACAGATCCAATATTTCCCCATACCTTCCCATGCTTTCTAGGTTCTCGTCTTTCCCCCCACTTCCCCTGCTTCCTCTATTCTCCTGGGAGCTGGCGATTCATGGTATCTGTGTGTGTTCTTGTCCCCTCCGGATGTATGGCTCATCCCGAGCCTCGCCCCGCAGAGTGGGAAAGACCCGGGAAACCGCATTGAGTTCTGCGAGCCGACGGTGGGGGAGCCAGCATCCCCCGCCGCGGACGTGGTGCACAGGACGGTGAGCGTGTTTTTTTGTTGTTGCTTTTCTTTTATATCTTATATATTATAACAACAGATTCGGCGTTTCGACATTGGGCGGAAAAGGGGGGGGAGGGTGGGGGTCTGGCTCCAGACTCCACCCGCTCGAGGCAGGCGCAAACAAACAGCCAAGATCTATACCATGGGGGGGGAGGGTGTGGTTGGGGGCCCGCGTCGATCGGCAAAACAACGAATACAAAAACGACCACATGACGCGAGCTCGGGGTCGGCAAAGTGACCCGTGCTGTGGCGAGAGCGCCAGTCTGAACGACGTGAGGCGAAGCCAGGACGAGGACAAGTTCGGGCGAGGATGAATCGAGAATCCGCCGACCCTGTCGGCGTGTGTGAGGGGCTTGTCTGTTCGAGTCGTCGTCTCCGTCGGTCATCGTCCCCGTCGTTCCCTTTCCCTGTACCCTCCTCCGCAAGCTTGTCAGCGAGAGAAATATCTAGCAATGTCGTGATCGAGTCGAAGGGTAGCCCTTTCCCTTTGATCCCTCCCCCGTCGGGGGGGGGGTCAGATACCCATCCCCCCCTGGGGGGCCCGGGGCCTCAGGTTGTACCAATACAGGACAAGAGTGCCCCAAGAGGCCCCCGAGACGGTTCGAGCGGGTCCCCAATCGCCAAACGATCGGTCCAACACGTTTTCACGCCATCCAGACTGCCCAGGAGGTGCCCCAAGACGCCTCCAAGAGCACTGCCGAGCCCCAAGAGGCTAAATTCATTGATTCCCCTTTGGATTTTCAAAGATTTGGGCGTTCTCGCCTTTTCCACTTCCCGCCGCTCCAAGACGGCGCAAGAGGCCTCCAAGGTCGCCCCAAGACGGCCCAAGAAACAGCCCGAGAGGACCCCAACACAACCCTAAACGCCTCCAAGACGGCCCAAGAGGCCCCTGAGAGAGCTCCAAGAGCGTGCCCAGATGGGGGGCCCGAACGGACATTCCGAGCCCCCGGCCTCAAGGCAAGAGGCCCCAAGAGGCCCCCGAGAGACTTCCGACGAGACCCCAAGAAGCATCCCTGAAAACTCTGGCCCACATCAGCGTCGTCGTCGTCGTCGTCGTCGTCGTCGTCGTCGTCGTCGTCGTTTCCCTCCAGGGTCGACCCTGGAGGCTCTGGAACCGGCCGATCTGGCGGCTCTGGAAGATCATGTCTCGGGCGTCGCGGCCTTCTCAAAGCGATCCACAGTGCTCTGAAAGCGTTCCGGAACGCTCTGAACGGGTTTATCCTCGTCCTAGCCTCTCCCGACGACGGGAGCACAGCGCCAACCCGAAAATGAGGCCCACGCTGCAGCGGGAGCACCATTTTGAGACACCGGAACCAACAGGACTGAGCAAAACACACAAAGGGAGATTAACGTTTGAAAATCTGGGAAGAAGAGCCATGCGCGGAGAGGGTCGCACATCTTCCGCACAGGGTCAGGGGATGAGAGGAGAGTAGTATTCACAGTGTGTGCTTACCTATTGTAGGAGCGGGGGGGGCCGAAGAAGAGGGGCAGCGTCCCATACATCGGGGAGACGTAAGACCCGGATTCGGGGGACTCGGGTGAGGGCAGTCAGAAACATGAAATTAAATAATAATTATAAAAAGAATACTAGTAAAAATAATAATAATAATAATAATACTGATAATCATAATACTATTAACAATAGTAATAATAATAGTAATATTAATAATGATAATAATAATACTAATAATAATAATAATGATAATCATACTAGTAATAAAAAGTATTATTATTATTGTCATCAGTATTATTACTGTTATAATCATAATACTAGTAATACTAAGACTACTACTAATAATAACAGTCATAACAACAATGATAATGATAATACTGATCATAATACTAATGATATGAACTTCGACGCGAACTTTCGCCGCAAACATCCAACGAAAACTTGGCGGTCAACACTCCGGTCGCGCCCGCCCCCCCCAAAAACGACAAACACGACTTGCGGCGAGCTCGAAACTTGCGCTTCCCCGCAGGAGAACGGGTGAAGAGGAGGAGATCCCCCTGGGGACACGAAGGCGTGTGAGGGGCGTGCGGAAATGGGACGGGCATGCGGAGAGCAGAGGCAGGGAGGGGAGGAGGAGGAGGGAGGATGAGGAGGAGGAGGAGGAGGAGGAGGGGAGGAGGAGGAGGAGGAGGAGGAGGAGGAGGAGGAGGAGAAGAGGAGGAGGAGGAAGGAGGAAGAGGAGGAGGAGGAGGAGGAGGAGGAGGAGGACGAGGAGGGGGAGGAGGAGGAGGAAGAGGAGGAAGAGGAAGAGGAGGAGGAGGAGGAGGAGAAGGAGGAGGGAGGAGGAGGAGGAGGAGGAGGAGGAGGAGGAGAGGAGGAGGAGGAGGAGGAGGAGGAGGAGGAGGAGGGAGGGAGGAGGGAGGGAGGGAGGGAGGGAGGGAGGGAGGGAGGGAGGGAGGGAGGGAGGGAGGGAGGAGGAGGAGGAGGAGGAGGAGGAGGAGGAGGAGGAGGAGGAGGAGGAGGAGGAGGAGGAGGGAGGAGGAGGAGGAGGACGACGACGACGAGGAGGAGGAGGAGGAGGAGGAGAAAAAGGAGGAGGAGGAAGAGGAGGAGGAGGAGAAAAAAGGAGGACGAGGGGGAGGAGGAGGGGGAGGAGGAAGGAAACAGGAACGCGGGGAGCTGTCTTTTCAAAACGAGGACCCAACACCACAGGATGGTTGGGAAAGCGGATGAACAGGAGGAAAAGGATGAGAGGATCGTCCTCTCCCTTCCCCCTTTTCCAGGGGCGCTGGGTAACCTGGCCACTTCGCCCACTTTGGTGGTGGTCCCCTCGCGCTTCTGTTCGTCGTGGCGTCGCTCGACGAGTTCTGAAGGCTCTAGCGTGATCGCCCCCACCTGGGGCAACGGCCCCTGGGGCGGGACGGCTGCGTTCAGCATGAACGAGGAAGCCACCAGCGTCAGGCACTATGAAAGCCAAATGTCACGACTGGAGATGAATCGAGTTCGGAGTCGGAAGCCTGCGCAGCTGATGGGTCCTCGGATAGGGGAACTCGGCTCTGCTTGCTTTTGAACGCCGGCCGCTGGCGAAAACATTCGGTTTTGCGGGGGTCGCCTGTGGTAGGACGAGAAGAATCAATTAACGCAATTTGCTCTTGATTCGTGTCGGGGATTCCGGGATTTCTAACAGCCGTCGTGCGGGGGCACCTTGCGTCGAATGTTGTCTAGTCTGTCTGGCGCCGCTGGTCGGTCACCCATTCGCAATCGAATAATCACCCGTACGGAGCTATTGGGCACTTGCTGATCCCCTGCCTCGTTGCCGAGCGCGGGGGGGGACGGTGGCGCACAGCCCCGTCGCCCGCAGCTGCGCACTGCGCGCCTCGGCGGATGTCCAAAAACTTGGCAAGGCCAACCACGCACGACTCGGGAAAATCCTCCGGGGGTAGATGTGAGAAACAATCGAATAACGAATTTGGAAATGTCTGGCCTACCTCTTGAAAGCTCCCGGACACGATTCTGAACATTTCCGGAATCCACTTAGGAGAAAAACCCGGATTTCACAATGTTTCAAATATCCTGCGAGGCGGGCGCATTCTTTTTCGTAGGTATACATATATATATATATATATATATATATATATATTATATATATATATATATATATATGTATATATCTACATATATATGTATATATATATGTATGTGAGAGAAATGTCCGGACCCGTTTTTGACAAATTCAGAAACCGGTTTGCCAAAAAGCCGGAAGCACTTTCCATTCGACGATCAAGAAATAATTTCCGGGCGGTCCGACGGGCGCGACCGGCTGATTCACGCACCGCGCCGCGCGCGATTGGGCGCAGTGCGCGCCGCGCCCTGCGCCCGCGAACAGCACTCGAAAGGGTTACCTTGAACATCGCGCCAAGGCAGCTGCGACACGCGGGCTCCCCAAACTCAAAACAAAATGCAGCTTGGAATCTCCGAGGCGCTCCGAGACGCGAACAATGCACCGCGCACATCACGCAAAAAAACCTACGCGACGGGATGCGCTCGACCATTCGTCCCTGGAGCCCGCGCAAAAAGACAAGAAAACCTGGAACTCTTGAGAAGATCGATCTCAATACTTCCTGCTCCTTTGATGTGGTGGGACGCACAGAGACATACTAATACTATATGTCCGCCTTGGAGGCGCGCGTCCGACCCGAACATATAGTATACCCATCTTGTAGTATATCGTTTCCCGAGCGGCGTGGCCAGAAAGCGCCCGCCACGACGCCTATACTATAAGATTTCTCGGTGCGCGCGTCGCCCCTGGGGGGGCGACGCACATATAGTATAAGTATGTTGGGGTGTTTCCGATGTGGGGCCCCTGGCCGGACGAGCCTCTCGGCCCGACAGCACCGGGACAGAGAAATGCACAAACCTTACATGGAGGAGGGATATAAAAGGGGCGTCCACTCGGGCTGCGAAGCAGAAGCGGCGAAACGCAGCAGGGTCGCCTCGCGGTCGCCGTGCTCCGGCTCGGGCGCCTTCGCGCGCGGGAGGGTGGCACCGCCAGGAAGAAGGGGGCACAGGGAGGGAAGGGAAGAGGAGCAGAAGGGAGGAGAAAACCACCATGCAAACCTCGTCCCGCTCCTCCTCCTCCTCCTTCCCCCCTCTCCTCCTCCCCCTCCGCCTGCCATGCACTCTGCGCGACGTAGCGCCGCGCAGGAGGCCCGCTCGGGCCAGGCCTGCTGGCATTCTCGCTCGACCGCTCCGAATCGCCTCCGGCGGCTTGGGTCAGCGTCGTCTTGAGTTTCTAAGGCATTTTCGGATTTTCGTTGGCGATTCGATTTGGGCTCTGCCTCCTCCTCCTCCTGCTCTTGCTCCTGCTCCTGCTCCTTTTCCTCCTCCTCCTCCTCCTCCTCCTCCTCCTCCTCCCCCTCCTCCTCCTCCTCCTCCTTCTCCTCCTCGTCCTCCTGCAGCCTAGTGGGCTTGACTCTTGTAAGTGACGCAGGGGGCTTGTATGACAGCTCGCACCTCACACTTTCGATGAACACCCTGCACCAATAAGGTTAGGCTGCTGGGGTGACACGACCGTCCTCCTTCCCTTCCTGTCTCCACCGATGGTGCCCTGTCCTCCTCACGGACATCTCGCTACCATCAAGCGTTGAGAAGACCAGGGCCCCGCCGGCCTCCCAGCCCACATCCGGCGGCAGTGGTCGCTACCCCTCACGTGTGTACGGGCCAGATTCGGGAGCTATTGGTCGCAAGGCCGTGCAACTTTTAACCGGAGACCTCGTTGCGCCCTACGTTGTCTGCCTCCCTGTGTTTCGTGGCGTTTTCTCCCATGTCGCGTCGTGCTCCACCGCGGCCGCCACGCGTCCCATTCCTTTTCGTCTCCCCGTGGTCCCGTTGCCTTTGCGCCTACAAGCTGTCTCCTAAGCTCGTTCCCCTTCCCTTGAGTCAGGATTTCTCCTCCCTTGCTCATTATCATTCTCTCTCTCTCTCTCTCTCTCTTGCCCCCATGCACTCTTGGACCCGTCCCCCACGATGCTCCCTCCGCACGAGATCCCTATTTCTGCCTACTTGATACCCGCCTGCTCCACCATCCCTGCGCGCGTTGGCTATCCAGCCGATATATCATCCTTTTCGGCCCCATCCCTAATTTCCATTTCAACTCCGCCCCCCTGCCTCCGCAGCCCATCCTCCCCGATTCATGGCTACCCCGCGGCCCACCACTAAACTCAAAAGGCTCGTTTCCCTGGGATGCCAGAGCAAAAGGCGCGCGATGCTTCTCCATCCCGTTCTGCGCTCGGCCCTGCGAGCCAAGGTCGTTCGAATTATCTCGAAACAGAGCGGGGCCACCCCTACTGATCGCGCCCAGAGGTCGGACTGGTCACATGTTAGCTCGGCGGCTGTCGGGGCTGGCCTGTCTCCTGTTCGCCTGGCCGCGGCCCTGTCGGACAACATAGCGAAGGAAAAAACTCCGCACATTGTTGTAGCCAAATGAGGCCCAAATTTGCGGACAAATCTTGCCCCCGCCCGATCGCCTTGCCTACAGTGCCCGCATCCAAACATTTCCGTTCTCGCCCAGGTCGATTCTACATGTCATGTGGCATTGTTTATGACTACACCCGTCTGCTTACTTGACTCCCGCACTCTATCCCATTCGATTGCTGTATGGCTACCGGGCCGATCTTTCCCTCTCCGCCCCTGCCTTCCGCGCGCTATCCCTACTGTTGCCTACCTACGCCCGCCTGCTCTACCGCCCGTGCGCGTGTGGCGATCGAGCTGTTATTTCATCCTTCTCGGCCCCGTCCCACGTGTCACTTTCCGCTCCGTCCCCCCTCCACCGTTGTCCCGTCCTGTTCGAGTGGCAGCTGCCCCGCGGCCCACCACCTAACTCAAAGGTTCATCCCCATCCCGCTTCCCTGATTCCCGCACTTTTTCACGTCCCTCTCATTTCTGGCTGCCCGCCCGATCTTTCATCCCTTTCGGATTCAGCCTTCCTGATATGCACTCAATACCACTTCCACGTTCGCAGTCACTGCCCCCCTGGTCCGCGCCTGCGCGGCGTGCGCCGTCACTTCCAACGACTGCGTGATCATGAACTGCGCGAGATTCGCGCCCAAAGCGGGGCGCTTCCGATGCCCGCCCAACAACCGCTGGCGCCCTGTCGATGGGAATATGGGGGACGGCCCCAGCCCCCTGCCGTTTGGTGCCAATCCTTCAGGTATAAGTATAAGTGTATAAATCGAATAGTATGACTTGCGAAAGATGCAATGAGACCTCCTCGTCTGCACTCCCCGCGACCTCGTCCTCGTGCAAGACCGGCCCACGAATCGTCGCCGCGCGCCCCCGCATCAGGTGCATTTTCGACTGGCCCCAAATACCTCTCAAGGCAAGGCGGCGGACATGTCCTTCGCCGGCGGGGGCCCTGGCAAGCTTGCGCGCTCTTTTTCGTGGTGCCGCAGCCGCCGTAGTTTGTCCGCGCAACGCCGCCTCTGTTCCCCCTGCGGCAGGGGCGGTCTGTGGCTACCACCCAGAGCAGCTGCTCTCCTCGCTCCTTCGCCTACTCCGATGCTTCCCGGCGTGGCAGCGAATTTCCTAGTCGGCAGAAGTGGCGACGGCATCCACGCGCCTCTCCTCTCGACGTCGCGCATCTTCGGGCGACTCTGCAACGAGGTCCATCTCCCCCGCCAACATGCGCACCCCCCCGCCGCAGCCCCGTATTATACGCAATTGCCTCTGCGTTCTCTCGGCCATTCAATCGCGGCCCTGGCGCCCACGTCGGCCCCCCGCGCAAGACATTGCGCGCGCGCTCTGTCAGCGCTCCGCGCCAAATTCATCTTGCACTCCGAGGAACCAGTCGTCTGGGTCCTCGGCGCGCTTGCGCTCCGTCAGCTCCGTCATACCCCGTGCTGCCCCTGGGCCTGCGGCTCCCGAACAGATATGCAGCCCGCGGCCCCCCGTGGCGCCCAGGGCGCACTTCCTCGCATTCATTAGGTACGACATGGACAGCGCATTGATCGCTGTCCCCGAAAGCGGCTCCAGCTGATAGAAGTCCCCGCAGAACAGCACGCTCACGCCCCCGAGCGGCCTGTCCACGCGCCCCTCCCCAACCTTGGCGTCGCTCAGTGCTGGCATCCACGACCGCAAATGCAAATCGAGCTCAGCAAGGAAGCTCGCGCTCACTATTCTCACCTCGTCCACAATCGACCACTTCCACTGTGACATCCGCTGCGCGGCCGTTTCCTCATTCGTTTTTTCTTGGACCCCGCGCTTCCCACGCCGCCGCCACTCGGCTTCTTCGTTTTCGCCACGCCAATGCCGAACGCACTCGCCCCCCCCCCTCTGCCTCCTCCTCTCCCTTCCTCCTCATCCACCTCCTCCGCCCCATCCCCCCTCCTGCTCCTCTTTTTGTTCCCCTCCGCGTCCTCCTCGTCCTCCTCCTCCTCCTAGTCCTCTTCCTCCTCGTCCTCGTCCTCCTCCTACTCTTCCTCCTCCTCCGCCTCCTCGTCCTCGTCGTCGTCCTCGCCCTCCTCCACCTCCTCCTCCTCCTCCTCCTCCTCGTCCTCCTCCTCCTCCTCCTCCTCCTCCTCGTCCTCCTCGTCCTCCTCCTCCTCCCCTTCTCTCTTGCTGCGCCTCCCCTTGGCCCTCAGCCTCCCCCCGCGGGGCGGCAGCGCCTGCGCGCGACGAGCGCACGCTTTGGGGCGCGGCGGCGGCGGCGACGACGACGAGGACGGATAACGAACGACGAGGGAATCAACGATCGGACTCCATGGGCGGTCACGGCTCGAAGATGCCGTCTCCTCCTCTCCCTCCCCTGCCCAACCGCCCGACCCCTCCCCTCGCCCCCTTCATCTTCCTCCTGCGCCACCCCCGCAAAAGAACTCCCCCCTCCCCCCCCCGCCCCAAGGGCCGAGAATTCTAGGGGAGGTCGACTGGATCGAAGATCGAAGACTGGAGTTTTGGGAGAAGAGCCAATGCGCAAACCCCTCCAATCCGAAACTCGTTCGGTCGGACGCTCGCCCGATGGCAAACTCGTCCGGTCGGGGACTCGTCTGGTCGCAAGCTCGTCTGGTGGAGGACTCGCTCGGAAACTCCTCTGGTCGGAAACTCGTGCGGTCGGAAACTCCCCCAAGAAGAAACTCGTCTGGTCGGAACCTCGTCCGGTCGGAAACTCGTCCGGTCGGAAACCCGTCCAGTAGCAACTCGCCCATTGGGGACCGTTGCGCACCTCGGAAACGTGTGGACCCACGTGGAGCTTGCAGCGGGCGAAACAAAAGGCGGACGAAGCAAAAGCGGACGAAACGAAAGCGGACGGAACACAAGCGGGCGACACGAAAGCGGACAAAAGGAAAGCGGACGGAACAGAAGCTGTCGAAATGAAACTCCACTGCGGAGCAGATTCGGCTCAAAGGTCATTCGTGCCCCCCTTTCTTCTTCAGAAGACGCCCCTGGGAGCCTCTCGCAATCCGCGGAGTGGCCGCTGCGGCTCCTGCAGAGGCCACCCGGGGCCCTCCGCGAGCCTCCAGGCGGCCACCAAGAGGCCCCTCTCGTGGCCCGTGCGGCCTCCCATGGCGCCGCCGGTGGCCCCCAGTGGCATCCAGTGGCGCCAGCAATGGATCGGGCCGGGGGAAAGGGGGAGATAGCAAAGGGGGGGGCTACGAATCAGCTAGCGTGGCTGATGTTCCCGGCGCCTCCCGGCTCCGGAGGCGGCCATGTATCGAGGAATGGGCCCCTCGGTGGGGCCGAGAGCAGCTTCATGCAGCAAATGTCGTAACCCCCCCCTTCCCCCCCCCTTTCGTCCGGCCCGACATGACTGCGGAACACTGGAGGCACAGGAGAGCCAGACTAAGTGACGAGAGAAGGCACCCAGGATCGTCTCCTGAGGTCCTCCTCCAAGGATCGAGACCTCCCAGATGGGGTCCAAGCAGATGGTGTCGGAGGATCTCGCCGCATCGCCGATGCATCGGCGATGCACTGGCGACGTCGGCGTGGAGAACAGTGGGCCCCACATCGAGCCGCATCGGCGACGCATCGCCAATGCATCGGAGATGCGGCACGATCCTCCGACACCATCTACTCCGACCCCATCTAGGGGGCCTAGAGAGGAGCAAGACGATGGCGCGGCGCAGCATCTTTTTTCTGGGCCAAGCACGCCCTCTGCATGGCCGCCGACCTCGGTGAAGGCTTAAGTCGGGCGTGTCCCCCTACAGGCGGATTTTGGACGAAAGAAAATAGCTAAACAATGCAAGACAATTGCCCAACATAGCAAACATAAGTCGTCCCACGATTTTTTGTTTTGATGCCATGTTTTAAAATTCCTACTGTAGAAGGACATGCCCGACTTAGATGAAGGCCCGCACGCCGGGGGGAAGGCCGCACCCCCCGCGGGCCTGGGCCGGACCCGCGCCATCTCCCACGCGCACTCCCCATTCCGTAGTAAACTGGCGGCGCGCACAAGGGGTTGGAAGCTGGGCGAGGGCTGGCAAATCCGTGGCTGATAAAACGGTCTCCCCGGAAAGGAACAACACATTCCCGGAACAAACCTCATCGCGCTAAGCAGTAGACGGGCTGCTTCCCGGAAGAAGGAACAAATTTCCCGGAGCTCCGTTTTAGCAGCCACAGATTTGCTAGCCTTCGCCAGGCTTCTATAGGGGGCAGGGGGAAGGGGGAGGCTTCTTAGAAGGAAACTGCGTCTTAGAAGGCGCCGGCCCTGCATCTATAAAGACGGCCCGCACTTTCTGTGGACCAGGGGTGCTTCCAAGAGGCCTTCGCCCCTCCCTCTTGCCCCCCTCTGCGCGTGGCCGAGTGTACTCCCCACTCCGTGACAAAAGTAGGGGGGGTCTGATGTTCTGGGGGTCTGATTTTCACTGCTTGGAGGGTTCCAGTGGGGTCTGCGCAAAAGGCTGCCCTCTCATGGCCTGTCTGGGAGGGGGGTCCAAAACTGCTCGTGAAGGAGGGTTGGCAGAACCCCCTCCTTTTTGTTACGAAATGTGGTATACGGGATCACTTGTCAAGCTCTGTATTGCCGCAAGCTGCATCCCAAACAACCAGTAAAGATGCGCGGTAAGGAAAAGTTGCTTTGACGCATTTTCGGCATTCGGCGGTCCCCCAAGACCTGGGAAGGGGCCCAGCGAAGACGGAAGTTCGTACCGCCGCTTTCGGGCTCAGTGGGCCCTCGCCAGGCCTCAGGGCCGTCAAAACATCGGTCGGGATGAAGATCCCGTCCCCGGGAAGGGGTCGGGACTTGTTGAGAGCCTGGTGCGGTCACAACTGATAGTACAGATGCACCATAGGGACGCAAGCCCCTTGGACGCCCGTCTTTTCGAGCGCGGCGAACCACCAGAAGTAGTCGAGGATGGCCAAAGAGGCAAGGATGCAAGGGTACCCTTGGGAAGATGACCCATCCATATCATCGGCTTCGACTGTAACATTTGGTGACGCGTGAGAAGTAGGGAAGTTGGTGGTATGTATTCAGTCGGCGGCGCATTCGGTGAAAAACCAAATGCCCTCGGTGCGCTGCCGAGATTTGGGGGTTGCAAAATACTCGTTCGCCTGCAAAAGCCTACTTTTCGGGCTCTTGAATTCTGCCGTGGCGTCGTAGGAAGGTGCCCCACAGAACAAACAGAGCAAAACTCAAAGAGGGAGGAGCACGGCGCCCACAACGACACTAAACTCGGCAACCGACCCAGCCGATAGCGAAGACGACCCTGCGATGCGCGCGTTGCAATTTTGCAACACATCGCCCGGCGTGGGGCTCCGAAAGCATCACATAACGATCCGACTCGCATATAGTCGCAAACGGAAGAAGTCCCACTGTTGTCGCGACGTCGGATCTCAGGGAAGACCCACCGACACCGATGGACCGACGGCAGCCTAGAAGGGCGCAGCGGTGCAACACCGGAGTCGACTGAACCGCCCTCCTCCCGCCCCTTCCTTCACTTGGATCGGCACGGGGATGGCTAAGGGGATAGAAGGTTAAAAGATGATGCCGAGGAGGGTTATAGCTGGCCAGACCTAGCTTGTAAGTGGGTTACAGGTGCCCCAAGTGGCGTAAGAGGCTGAGATAACTTCGCTGAGTGAATCAGTACCCCGCTAAACAACTTGGGGCACTTGTAACCAACATTATAAGGTAGGTATGGGACCATTTTGCATTCCTGCTGGATAACAGGTGTTATCCTGGGGGGGGCGGGCGGGGGGTAACAGCAACGGGGGCCGCGGCGCGCACCCCCAGAGGCGCGCCGCCCACTACGTCGTCGTCGTCTTCGTCGTAGTCACCGTCCAAGCCCATAATGCCCGTGCATACAACACGGGCTCTGTACACCATAATGCCCTTATGCGCCAAGACTGCTACAAAAATTGAATCTGTGCGTGTACACCGCGGCGACTGTATACACCATAACAACCGTGTGCAACACAGCGCCTTTGTACATCACACAGTTTGTGCACACCACAGCGCCTGCGTGCACCACAGCTGCCTGCTGTTTCAGCACCCCCCCTGTGCACCACAGTGCCTGCGTACGCACGCTGACCCTGCGGGCACCACGCCTCGTGCTCCAAGCGGGCACGAAAACACCCGTCAAAATCAGCGGAGAACATCTGGTCGACGAGGTCGAAAACACCCTGTCCGAGAACCCAGGTTTCCGGCCTAATCGGGGGAGTAGACTGGAGAGCTGCGATCTCGAAGCGCATGTGTACACCGCAGTGCCTGTGTACACCACAGCGTCCGTCTGCACCGCAACGCCTGTGATGTTTGACACGACAGCTGCTGTTTCAGCACCCCTCCGTGTGCACCAGTGCCTGCGTATACCACAAAGCTTGTGTACACCTCTACGGCCCCGACGGAGCCAAAGTCTGGGAAATTGTTGGGGGCTCGAATGTGTCAGATTCAATATTTGATCTAATTGTGATTCTTGTTTTTTCTGGTCCGAGTAACGCTTGGAGCCTGTGTGCACCATAAGGATTGTGTGCACCACAATGCGTGTGTACACCACAATGCCAGCGTCCTGTATGCGCAAGGAAAACGACAACGAGGACGAACATGAAGAGGAGGCGGAAGCAGTAGGAAGAGATACGTGGGTACATTATTACCCACAACGCACGCTTACATCATAGCGTCTTTGCGCACTACAGCGATTGTGTACATCACGGCGCCTGTGTACACCATAGAGCTTGTGTTGTATACACCGCAATGATTCTCTACACCCACTTTGTCTGTGTACACCACTGCTGCTGCTGCAACGACAGATGTGTGCGCCACAACGCCCGTGTACACCGCGGCACTAGTAGCGCCCGCGGTGTACAACGTAGTGCACGCTCGCGTGCACCGTGGCACTAATAATGCCCGCGTGCACAGCAAACCCCAAACTGCCTGGGATCGCGGACTGGACCGGGCCGGGGCGTTACCGTTACGGGGAGTGGTAGGGGGGTGGTAACACGTGTTATCGCATGGGTGGATAAAACAAGTGTCTTTAAGGCCAGATGTACCCAACCTTGGCATCACCTTCCAAGACCCCCCTATCACCGTAGCATCCCGCGCGCCGATCCAGGCGGATGCCTCTGAAGACCAGCTCGGATGTCCGAAAGGTACATAAGCAATTGGCACGGTGCCAAACATAACATGTTGCCCAAAACCCACAGCGGCCGCTGTTGGGCAGGCGGCCTCTGTTTCAAATGAAGCAACGAGAACGGTTCCATTCGAAATGAACAAAGAGAGCTGCCGGTTTTTGTGTCCATCCTCTCTGTGTCCACTTCAATCGCCCTGAACCTACTGGTGACCCGTCCGGAGCGTCCTCCGAGCCGCAGAGACGAGGAGCCCGGAGCCCCCTCCTGGAGAGAAGGCTCACACACTTCCTCGGACGGGAGACGCGGACGCCGAGGCCGACGACGGCGTCTGCTCGCCGCCGACACCGGGTGTTCCCCGTCGGCGCCGTCCTCGCTGGGGTCGTCGCAGTGGTTGTCTCCGTCGTTGTCCTCGTCGCCGACGCCTGCTGATTCACCAGAGGCCTGGGGAAGGCCTACATGTCACCAGACTTCGCGCCGCTGCCGTCGTCGCAGTAGTCGCCTCCGTCCTCGTCGTCGCTGCCGCCGCCGCCTTCTCGTCCTCCAGAGGCCTCCCGAAGACCTACATACCACCGAACTTCGTGCTGCCGACGTCGTCGCAATAGTCGCCTCCGTCCTCGTCGTTGCCGCCGCCGCATGCTCGTCCTCCAGGAGACTCTGGAAGACCCATGTGCCACCGAACTTGTTGCCGACGTCGTCGTGGTCGTTGCAAGAGTCGCCTCCGTCCTCGTCTTTGTCGCTGTCGCCTGCTCGTCCTCCAAAAGCCTCTGGAAAACGTACATGCCACCGACCACCGTGCCGTCGTCGTCATCGTCGTCGTCGTCGTCGCAGAAATCGCCCCCGCCGGGCTCTCGATGGCCCCCGCGTGCCCCCCCGGAGGCCTCCGAGGGGCCTCCGAGGGGCCTCCGACGGGCCTCCGAAGGCTCCCGCGGGCCTCCGAAGGCCTCCGAGGGGCTTCCGGGGATTCCCCCTCGAAGGCCCCCTGGAGGCCTCCGAGGGGCCTCCGAAGATCTCCCGAGGGGCCCCCAGCGGCCTCCGAGGGGCCCGAGCGGCCTCCGAGGGGCCTAGGCTTCCCCGGAGGCCTCCGAGGAGTCCTCGGAGGCCCCCGAGGGCCTTCGAGGGACTTCACGCAGAGGGCAAAACATCCACCTCGAGAAGAATCACCCCGACAAGCGAAGCCGTTTTGTAAGTGCACCCCCGGGAGGGATCGACCGGGGCAGAACTGTTTTTAGCAAACTCCCAGGGCCGCTTCTAGTAAAAACGCGAATTATCGGGTCCGGGTGGTGTTTTCCTCCCCAGAACACGGGCCAGGACGGGCCCTCCCGAGGGGCCTCCGAGAAGGCTGCCGAGGGCCTCCGCCCGAGCGGTGGGCCCGAGAAGGCTGCCGAGGGCGAACGGCCGAAGGGGCGGCGCCGAGCCGCGGACACCTCGCCGTCCATCTGCAGGCAGAAGCGCACCACGGGCCGCGCCAGCGCGACGAAGGCCTCCGCAGGCCGCGACGGGTGGCGCGCTGACGACGAACGACGACGACGACGACGACGAATGACGACGATGACGACGACGACTCACCTGCCACCGTCGCTGCCACCGTCGCCGCCACCGTCGGCGCCACCGTCGGCGGCGTCGACGTCTCCGTGCGGCCTGCGAGGGTCCCCAGCCCGCCGCGACGGGCGGCGCCGCGCAGACGTCATCGACGCTTGACGTCGCCGACGTCGTCGACATGGTCGTCGCTGGAGAGCCTCTGAGGGCCTCCGCGCGCTGGAGATGCCCTCGAAGTTTTTTCGATAAATCCCACCAACCCTCTGGGCGTAGGTGGTTTAACGCGTTTTGTAGTGCCCCTGTCCAAAATATCTCCTTGTCCTGCTCGTGGGAATATTTTTAGCTCACAGCGAAGACTGATAGGTTTCTAATGGTATAACAGAGAGCATCTTGACTCCCCAGGGGGGTCTTTGGAGGGTGAAAGTGGGGGTCGGGCGCAGGGTCCCGGCAATGATGTCTGTTAAAGTCATGAATGGGCGATGCATCGTCGATTGCTGCGTTCGGCGGGGGAACTAATTGAAGCCCCTCGCCTGCACCCGCGCGCGAGACTTGAGGGGAAAGGAAGCAAGGGGGCGGGGGGCTCGGGAAAGGCGACGAAGGCAACGTGCGCTAAGGGCGAAACAAGAAAAGGCTGGAACACGCGAAAGCGGTCGAGTGAGTGTCGAAATCTGACCAGCCAATCTGGCATGCGGAACACTGCGCCTCAGTTTGGGGGATCTTGAAGGCCAGGGCAAAATGTGAATTCACATTGTGGGGAAAAGCAAAATGTGAATTCACATTTTGGGAAAAAGGAAAATGTGAATTCACATTTTGGGAAAAAGGAAAGTGTGAATTCACATTTTGGAATTTTGTGTAGGATTCTTTATGAAGGGGCTAGAATGTGAATTCACATTTTGGGAAAAAGGAAAATGTGAATTCACATTTTGGGAGAAAGGAAAATGTGAATTCACATTTTTGGAGAATCGCGGGGCCCATTCCGAATCTGTCTTGGGGGTCGAGAAATCATCGTTTGGGAACATACGCGATCATCAACCGCACAATCAAGACACACTTGCACTCCACTTCGCCGACCCACGCGCAATATGCAAGAACGCCCGCACGCATGAAAGATAATGGATGGACGGCGCGTGTGCCCGCGCGGGCAACGCGCGGGCACGAATGACTGGCCACCAATGACCGCCAGCATTGGGTGCCAATCATACCCGATCACATACATGAGCGATACATTGAGCATACAAGGGCCATTCAGCCCCCATTGAAGACCCCCTGTTGCAGACCCCCTCTTTCACCCTCCAAGGTCTGGGCGGGATCCGGACAAAACCGGACAAAAGGGTCAGCCCCAGGAATCCTCAAGAATCCTTAGGGATTCTTATGAATCCTTCGGGATCCATTCCCAGGCCACATTTTGAATGCCCGGAGCCAACTGTAGGCCACTTCGTGTTCTTCGTGTTCCCAGAACACCATTCCCAGGCCACATTTTGAATGCCCGGAGCCAACTGTAGGCCACTTCGTGATCTTCGTGTTCCCAGAACGCCATTCCCAGGCCACATTTTGAATGCCCGGAGCCAACTGTAGGCCACTTCGTGTTCGTGTTCCCAGAACACCATTCCCAGGCCACATTTTGAATGCCCGGAGCCAACTGTAGGCCACCTCGTGTTCTTCGTGTTCCCAGAACACAACTCCTGTGCCATATTTTGATTGCCCGGAGCCAACTGTGGGCCATTTCGTGGTCTTCGTGTTCCCAGAACACCAGTCCTGTGCCATATTTTGAATGCCCGAGCTGAGCCAGGCTGAGACTGAGGCAGGCTGAGGCCGAGGCAGGCTGAGGCTGAGGCTGAGGCACGCCGAGGCAGGCTGAGGCTGAGGCTGAGGCAGGCTGAGGCTGAGGCAGGCTGAGGCAGGCTGAGGCTGAGGCTGACGCAGGCTGATGCCGGGGCAGGCTGAGGCTGAGGCTGAGGCAGGCTGAGGCTGAGGCAGGCTGAGACTGAGGCTGAGGCAGGCTGAGGCTGAGGCTGAGGCTGATGCAGGCTGAAGCTGAGAGGCTGACGCTGAGGCTGAGGCAGGCTGAGGCTGAGGCTGAGGCCGAGGCAGGCTGAGGCTGAGGCTGAGGCAAGCCGAGGCAGGCTGAGGCTGAGGCTGAGGCTGAGGCTGAGGCTGAGGCTGAAGCTGAGGCTGAGGCTGAGGCTAGCTGCGGCTGAGGCTGAGGCTGAGGCTGATGCAGGCTGAGGCTGAGGCTGAGGCTGAGGCTGATGCTGAGGCTGAGGCAAGCTGCGGCTGAGAGGCTGACGCTGAGGCTGAGGCCGGCTGAGGCTGAGGCTGAGGCCGAGGCAGGCTGAGGCTGAGGCAGGCTGAGGCTGAGGCTGAGGCTGATGCTGAGGCAAGCTGCGGCTGAGAGGCTGACGCTGAGGCTGAGGCCGGCTGTGGCTGAGGGTGAGGCCGAGGCAGGCTGAGGCTGAGGCTGAGGCAAGCCGAGGCAGGCTGAGGCTGAGGCTGAAGCTGAGGCAGGCTGAGGCTGAGGCTGAGGCTGTGGCTGAGGCTGAGGCAAGCTGCGGCTGACGCAGGCTGAGGCTGAGGCTGAGGCAGGCTGAGGCTGAGGCAGGCTGAGGCTGAGGCTGAGGCAGGCTGAGGCTGAGGCTGAGGCTGATGCAGGCTGAGGCTGAGAGGCCGACGCTGAGGCTGAGGCTGAGGCTGAGGCAGGCTGAGGCTGAGGCTGAGGCTGAGGCAAGCCGAGGCAGGCTGAGGCCGAGGCTGAAGCTGAGGCAGGCTGAGGCTGAGGCTGTGGCTGAGGCAAGCTGCGGCTGAGGCAGGCTGAGGCTGAGGCTGATGCAGGCTGAGGCTGAGGCAGGCTGAGGCTGAGGGCTGAGGCTGAGGCTGAGGCTGAGGCTGAGGCCGAGGCAGGCTGAGGCTGATGCCGAGGCAAGCCGAGGCAGGCCGAGGCTGAGGCTGAGGCTGATGCTGAGGCAGGCTGAGGCTGAGACAGGCTGAGGCTGAGGCTGAGGCAGGCTGAGGCTGAGGCAGGCTGAGGCTGAGGCCGAGGCAAGCGAATCCATCGGAATCCTTAGGATTCCTGCGGGATCCTTAGGAATCCATAGGAATCCCTAGGACTCAGGATTCCTAAGGATTCCTAAGGTTTCCTCAGGATTCCTATGGATTCCTAAGGATGCCTCAGGATACCTTAGGAATCCCTAGGAATCCTTAGGATTCCATTGGATCCTACGGCCGTTGCCACTGCGACTGTCATTGCGAATGCGACTGCGACTGCGAGAACAGCAGAATTCTACAACTGGATTCTCACCTGAATCTTAAAGGGAATGCTTCCAGATATGCTTATACACATCGCTGTTAGGTTGCGCTGCCGGGATAATGTTGTTCACAATTCTCTATTAACATGCTCCCCCTCCCCGAAGCGACCAGCAACCAACCAGGAACAATGCCGACCACCATGATCACAGCCCCCACCATCCGTTTCAACAAATGCAACACACACTCTGCCTCCAAATTCGGAGCATGCGCAGCCAACCCGATGCGACCCCCCACCACCCCTTCCGAAAACCATAGAAATTCACTTTGGGGAAAGGTCTTGATCGAGTCATGTTGGTGAGGCCTGCGAGCACTTTTTATGTGTTTTGACAGGGACGGCGAGGGCGTCATCATATTGTCTGCTGTGCGCAAGGCCACCATCCCTGTCAAAAACAATGCAAAGTGCTGCAGAGCCACCATCCATATCAAAAACAATACAACGTGCACATCGCGGCTACATGTGGATCATGCGTGGCCACCCCGCAAACACTGTCAGGTGGTGTTTGACGGGGACGGCGGGGGTGGTGGAGCATGGCCTGCTGTGCACAGGCCCACTAGACACAATGATGGGCATTGGCTTTCAACAAGGATGGTGGGGGCCGACATGTTTTCCGATGTGTGCTGTCACATACGCAGGCGCACCTGACACACTCTGCACGTGTGGCGCGGCTGGAGTATGCGGCACACGTGGCGCACGTGGAGCATGTGGCGCATCTGGCGCACCAGGCGTGCCTGGCACGCTCGGGCCCCAGGGGTGTCTGGCGCGCGTGGCGCGCCTGGCACACGTCGCGCACCTCGCCCCAGCGTCATGTACATGGATTCGGTTTTGGTTTCCAGTAGCTGTCTTTGCAAAGACCACCGCGGAACATGCCGAGGGTCGGGTGTTACTTATATGTTGGGAGGGCGGTCGGGAGTGAGCTAGACGGCTCGCTATCTAAGAGGGTGTCTTCATCACTGCTCCCTATGTATAAACAGCCCCACCCCCACCAAATTTCGGGTCGACTCGGGACATGCCCGCCCCCACTCACCATTATCTCCGCCAACAAAAAACAAGACAGAATGCTCTCTGCCTCCAAATCTCGAGCATGCGCGGGCGCCCCGCGACCACTCTGCATTGGTCTTTGACAAGGACGACGGGGGTGCCGGCACGCTGTTTGTCACGCGCACGTTGCGCGCAAGCCGACGGTCCCTGTCAAACAAAACAGAATGCACTGTGCCTCCAAATCCACAGCATGCACGGGCGCCACGCGATCTAATTATCGGCGGGCGCCCTGCGACCACTCTGCATTTGTGTTTGACAGGAGTCGCACGGGCGCCGGCATAATGCTTGATACGCGTAGGCCAGCCATCCCTGTCAGAAAACAATACAGGATCCACCCGGTGACTGCTGTGCACTGGCGCACCTCGCCCGCTCTGGGCGCGCCGAACACGTGGCGCACCTGGCGCGGCTGGAGCACGTGGTGCACGTGGCGCTCGTGGAGCACGATCCGCACTTACCGCGCCTCGCAAGCTTGGGCCTCCAAGGTGCCTGGTGCACCTGAACCCGTGGCGCACATGGCATGCGTGGCGCTCATCGGCGATGTGCTGAGACCCGGGTACTGCTTCTGTGTTGGGAGGGCGGGTGGGAGTGAGCGAGGCGGCTTGC